TATGCTTTGCTCAAGCAACAGATGGCGGTTGCGGCCAAGTTCGAGGTGGGCGTCGCTTCCCCTGGCTTCTTCTTCTTCTTCTTATTCTTGAGTTTGTATCCGGACAATCTAGTATTCGATGTTGTCCATCGATTCTGCTCAAATCTATTCTATTCTTGATGAAATTTTTGCATGGGTTCTTGCTATGAAATTTTGCAAGTATAAACTTGCATGCAACCTCTGCATAAAAATGACCATGCCTGCAAATCATCAGCATTTGATGCGTGATTATGCTTTGATATACAACTTTGTAACTGCTCCACAGCTCTACTTTGTCGTGAGGATCTGCAATCTCGTCTGGGTAGTATTTCTTGGCAACATTCATCTTGAGTGCTTGTACGGCCATAGACTGGAACTGATAATGGACACATAACAAATTGGTAGCATTACATCACTCGAACTTTTTCCTTTTTGTTAAGGTGGCGGGTGTGTGGATTTTATTAGAAAGATAGGGAAAAGTATTTTTATTCGCGAACAATTAGGCATAGTTTCGATAGATTGGTAAAATAAGAAAGAGTTATTTAAGATGATATGAACATATGCCAACTAGATTTATAGGCATTGTAGACAAAGACTTAATTATTCTTAATTCAAATAAAATATTACTTTTGCATAGCTCAACGACAGTAAAATGAAATTCATGTAGCCACCATAAATAGTTCAGGCATTATGGTTTATTGTATATTGTCACCAGTGTCTCTACTCTGCTTTGATGTTTTCTTTAATGTTCTTATACTCTTAAACTTCGACCATTTCCCCCTTTATGTTCATTTCTTTTCCTCTTTTGACACTGAGGATCACGTAGGAGTAGAGGACTAATTAAATTTTTAGCTGTTTGGCATATTCTAGTATTGTGCTACTATCAACTGTAAAATTCTCTAATAGATATGTGAGTAGGTATTTTTAGATTTTGACCCATATATATAAATGAGTTCGGCATATCTTACAAAGTCTTAGTCTTCTCTACTGCCATAAGGCTGTTCTGGTTCTGTCAGGACTACAAAGAGGCTGCTAGAATCAGGGATTCCTTGAAATTCTTTGAGGAGGAGGAGCCAGCATTGCACCTTCGCAAGTTGATGAGGAAGGCAATTGAAGAGGAGCGATTTGAGGTATTATATTATGATATTCTTTTGCATCATGAATTTTTGGTTCTCGCATAGGCAAATAAGTTGTTCAGATCAAAATATTATTCATGTGGATAAGTATGCTTTTTGGAGCATCACGAATTGCACATTATTTTGAGACATTAAAATAAAAGGTCACCGGTTGCAAAAATTAAGTGGATCCGGAAAGTGTTGCCCACCCGTCCGATCACCAAGTCCTCCAGCAATTGCTCAGTTTGCTATGGTACATCTACAGGCTCTTATCTTGGACTACCTCGGCTATGTGTTGACTTCTTAACAATCCAACTGGACTACCTCTGGTTATATTTCGATGAGTTAACAATATTCTAATATCAGAGTATGCTTTCCAGGATGCAGCCAAATACAGGGATGAGTTAAAGATTATAGCACCACATTCCCTCCTCAAATGTTCGAGTGATGCTACTACTCTGGTAAAATTCCTCTGTGTATTTTGTTTGATTAGTTTAATTTGCGTTCATTATTCATGTTGATGGTTTCATCATCCTTGAATGCTAAGTTTTACCAATGCGTTTACCAGTTCTACTAATTGTTGATTGACTAAATGGGTAATTTTGAATTTTTGATAGGAGGCGACTGATCATGCTTGTCTTCTCTCTATATTTTGCAAATTTTGAGCTTCAAATTTCGGGAGCTTGTTGTCATTAATTGAATTTTTGAAGTATTCATTTCTTTTTATGAAGTTGCTATAGTTGCCTTTTAGATCTTGATGATGATTTATTGGTTTGTGGCCTCACTATAACCTACCATTTCTCACAGGTACAAAACCATCTCAAAACATCCTCATAAATCAACCAACAAAGTACTACCATGACAAGCTATTTAATCTTATTTTCATATTAATTTGGGTTCATTTAGAAAATTGAATTTTAGGATGAATGCCAGGGTATCTATCATGAGCAGAGAAATCTTTTTTTATTTGATTATATTCAAATGAGGAGGGAGAGGAAGAGAAAGATGTTAATAGTGAAAGATAATGATGAATGATAGAAAAGATAATAAGCAAAAATGTTAACTATTAGACTCAATTTTGCTCAAGGGGTAACTTGGAATGAAGTCTCATGCCTCCTTAGATAACATATGCAGGTAATGGAATTACATCATAGGTAATTAAAATGTGACCTTCCACTACTTACATGTTTCGTAGAAACATAATTTGTTCATTTGTTAATCTTTGACCACACTCTCTTCTCCCTTTTTTTGGACCCCCAACACAAGAAAAGGCAAAAAAAAAAAGAAAAAAGAGAGAATATAACATCTTATATATTAAGGCATAACAGTCATTGGATCTTTCCTTATTCAGCTAAGATATCTTTTATATATGTTTTGAAACTTGTAAAATAATTCTTCAATTAACAATTGAAATCAAGGTTTGCAATACCGTTTTGGATGGTCTGGTACAGACTGTATTTACTGATCCAACAAACTATCAGTACATGAACCAGGATAAACTGGGCGATATGCCCAGCACAAAAGTTATATTATCCTGTATAAGGCCTTCAAACTTAGGAATGTAAGTCTCATACTTCACATGTAGACAATGGAAAACATCATCAAAAATTAAATTGCAATCTCACACCAATAACATCATCAAAAATAAAATATTTTCATTCATTCACTTTTTGATCTTCAATTTAAATATTTTCTTTCTTATGGACCCCAAGTACAAGAAAAATATGATGAAATTATAAAATAGAAAGAATATAATAGATTCAGATTACACCAATATATACGTCCATGTATAAAATAATTGTAAGCATATACAGTCATATATAAATGAAATGTTATCCTGATATGAACAACTGCATCTGCATCCTTTTGAAAACTTGTATGCCCCTTTTGAAATCTCAACATTTTAGGGTATTCGAGTGCAAGTCAGGAGTGTTTATATCGAGAGCCGGAGCCATCCGTCCAAGTGGCAATACTTTTTTGCCTACAGAATACGAATCAGTAATAATTCACAGCATCCTGTTCAGCTTCTAAGAAGGCATTGGATCATCACCGATGCTAATGGTCGAACCGAGAATGTTTGGTCAGTCAAGTTCTTCTAGATGTTCTTATGTTCTTCGAAAGTTCTTCCTAACTTCTCTTTTTATTCAGGGGAGCAGGTGTAATCGGTGAACAACCTGTTATACATCCTAGGACTGGATTTGAGTATTCTTCTGCTTGTCCATTAAGCACCCCTAGTGGAAGAATGGTATGCTTTACTTACTATCTTCCCATCATGGAATAATTACAGTTTTTGAATAAGTAAATCATGTTAAAAGAAATATGACATCATACAAGCACACAAATGGTGCTTCTGTCTGTATTCTGTAGATCAACTCTTAACATTTTGCTTTCAAGTAAATTAATGTCTTTGATGCCTTTATGATATTTTGTACAATATCAATGACAATCTACATGACAGTTGGTGAATGAGTTAGGGCTTCAATTGACATATAAATTTTCATATTTTAGATCATTTTACCAGATATATTTAAATTTCATCGACATGTACAGGAAGGTGACTTTGAAATGAAGCGCATTGATAAGGTGGGTTCACCAACCTTCAATGTAGCAATTGCCCCATTCTCTCTGTCCATATTGGGGGATGACAATGATGGGCTCCTCTAAGACCAAGCAGAACAGAGCATGACGCTTCGTAAATAAATTGATTTGCTTCTGGGCGTGGATTAGAAGTAGCGGCAGAAGGTTAATCAATGATGTTGTATAATAATAGCTGAGGTGTGTAATATTAGGACACAATCGGTACAAGGTGAGTGCAATAGTGTGTAATGATTGCATACACAGTCAATTTCTCATTTCAAAGATAGTTTCGATATCGCAAATATGTCTCAAGTTCGAGTCTACGTGTAAGCGTCATGTACCTCATTTAATATAATATATATTTTTTAATTTTTGTATAAAAAAGATGAGCTTCGATTTCGAGGTGATCTTTGATCACGTAATTATTTGAAATGTATCCTTGCTAGATACAGCACCTCATATTCTTATTTTGGATTGGCAACTTATCCTTCTTAGCCATTAGCCATTATATTTAATATGTCCTGATGGGTAAAGTACCTGGCCATTTTTGTGGTTATATTTTATGATTCCCTATATGATTTTATTTGTTAAAATTTATAAATATAGAGTTTTTTTATTTGTTAAAACTTATAAAGATGTTGAATTCTTTTCTAATAACTTAAACTTTTGAGATTTACCATTACCTAATTAATTTTTTTTAGATAATATCATAATAGGTCATGAGTTTGAATTCTACATATCAGTTTTTGTTCCGATTTTTTATTTGGGCTAATTTCATTTGTGTCTTATTTTTCATTCATTCATCACCAATCGAGCTAATTACTATTTATATAGATTGTCCTGTATGGGGTTTTCATTTGGGCTAAGCTCATTTACGTCTCATTTTTCATTTGTTCACCACCAATTAAGCTAATTACTATATACCCACATATTAGTTTTTGTTCCACAATACTTAATTAAGATTATTTGTCCAGCATCGATTTTTCATTTGGGGTAAGTTCATTTGTGTTTCATTTTTCATTCATTCACTACCGATCAAGCTAATTACTATTTATCTTCTATGATTAGTTATCTTTAGTTTCTCGATCTTTATATTTTTTAAAAGTTATATTGAGATCTCTATACTAATGAATGTTTAATAAAAATAAAACATTTAATCTTATTTCTCTTCACGCTTGACTTTACTCATAAAAATTATATCTAAGAGTCAACAACATGAGGAAAAAATGATGTCAAATGTTTCACTTAAGAATGAGATATAAATGAGATATAAAGATGCTTAATTACAGAAAAAAGAATAATATGTATTTAGCTTCACCAATCATATCACTGGCTCGTTGTACAATTGATTGTGTTCATTACTCAAATTGCAGAGCAGACCGGTGAACAACAGAACAGTTCTCCAAATTCACAAATGTCTCGATGCTCGAGTTCTCAGCACTTCCTTCACTAGACGCATAAAAGTATCTGAACACGGGACCAACTCCTTCATGATCATGTCATCATAGAGGAGAAGCGCCCTCCGCACATCACCCTCGATACAATACCCTGCGATCAACGAATCATACATGCAACTCGTAGGCACCAATTCCTTCGTCGTCCCCCCGATGCTAAGAAACTTCTCAGCCTCATTGACCTTTCCACATCGACAGAGGTTCCTGATCATGGACGTGTAAACAACGGGATCAGATCCGATGCCCCTGTGCTCCATTTCGTAGTACAGTTTAAGGACTTCTCGAGCATTTCCAGTATCCCCATACCCATCGATGAGGCTCAGGTACATGTCCCGGTCGGGGACGAGTCCCTTCTCCAACAAAGAAGTCAGCATTCGATTGGCCTCCTCGACCTCCCCGGCTTTGCAGAGTGTGCTCAGTATCTCATTGCAAGCGCTGCAACTTGGCATGAACCCGTCGTCGAGCATCTTCTCACAATGCTTCAAGCTCTCCTCCCTCCTCCCGGTTCTCGACAACCCCACGATCAGATGATTGTAAGTCTCGTCGTACGGTCTCAGTCCCATCGAGAGCATCTCTTCCATCAGTCGAACAGCCTCTTCGATGCTTCTCTCGGAGTAGGATCCTATCAAGGAAGTATAAACGAAGGAATTCAAGCTGCAACTTCTGTTGATCATCTCGTTCCGTGTCTCGTATGCCGAATCTAAGTTGGGCATCTTGCAGTAGGCAGATATTATCAAAGAATAGGCGATATCGTCGAGCACCATGTTCCTCTGTAGCATTCTCTTCAACAGCATGATCGCTTCTTCGGCCCTGCCCTCCTCAATGATCCTGAAAGCCAGTGCGGCATTCACGATCACGCCGGGAGGACAACGCTTCCCGTGGATCCTATCCAGAACGCCCACCATCTTTGGCAGAACCCCCGCCTTGCACATCACGTCAACCATGACCTGCGTCGTGGCTTTGTTGGGGTATATCCTTCTCACCAACATATACTCAAACACCTTCCAGGCCAAGCCACTCTGATCGGATCTCTGTGCCACGCGCAGCATCGTGTTGAAGCTGATTAGACTCGCATCGAATCCGCGGTCTCCCAAGTATCTGCAAGCGTCGAAAGCTGCCCCGACCATTCTCATGTTCGAGTACGTCTGCAGCAGCAGATCGAAAACGCGGCGTCCGGGGAGGACAGCTTCGTAAGTACTCAGAAGCACCTCCGCGACCGAAGAACCCCGGGCGTACTTGCCGATTGCCGATTCCAGCAGCGCCCGCGCGTCGACGAGAAGCCCGGCGCGGACGAGGATGTGAACGATGAAGCAGTAGGAGCGCAGGTCGTGCTCGAAACGCCTGGTACGGGATGACCAATGGAAGAAAGTCAGCGCCTTTTTGGCGTCATCAGGCTCCTTGAGATCGAGAAGCACGCTCTCCACAAGGGGTTGGGTGAGTTCTACGGATCCAAAACTGGTGGTTAAGCTGTCAAAGCTCCAGCCTTTGCTCATCGCGCTGGTGATCACGATGGAAATCTCAGGAAAGACGGGCTCTTTGTGTTGTCCGGCGCGGTGAGGAGGAGAGAGGAGGGTTCGGCAAGCACAAAGGGATCGGTGGCGAAACTGGCGGCTTTGAGCATTTGTCGCCAGGGGTGGAACGCGGCGGAGGACACAGGCGACGCTTCGAACGATGACAGTACACATGGAACTCATTCCCCAAGTAAACGACATGAGCGATGCCGGGACGGATTAGGGTTAAAGGTCGCCCGAACGCTGACACCCTTCGGCTTCTCTTCATCCTTTTGCTCGTCTCATCTCCTCCTCTATACTTACTCAAAATAATAGAATTAATGGCTTCATTTGATTCCTATTAACTCGGTGATCAATTAAATCTATTCAAACCAAATGGAGCTCAAGTGAACAATCAATCTATTTAAGTTAATCTCAAACATTTAATCATAGTTCAAGCTCTGTAAATTTCGACCAATTATGGCAAAAATATCTAACATAGGGGAAACCGCGAGAGAGAAATATCTATGTCTACATCCTTTAGCAAACACAAATATCTTAGTGGGGAGCGGACTGCGGCAAGTTTGGAGAGTGCAATCTTAATTGTCTCCTCCATCGGCGATCAATTGCTAGAAAATGATATCCTGTAGCAGAAATCCAGCAGCCTTTGCCTTCTCGATGCCCGATAAGCCTGGGAAGGTTGATCGCACCTTCCATTTCCGGTCAACCAGGAAGACAACAGTGTACAAGTACTCACTTCCTAGCTGAAGAATCTGTTTGGTACTCAAGTTTCAAGCTGGAGACTGAACTCTCATCTTCTCTTTTCTCATTCTGCTACTGCTTGTGTTGTGATTCTCCTGGTTTCCAGTGCTCGATCGAGAGGGGCAGCCACCGGAATCAGATGTTGCAGCGGAAAGAAAGGCCGAGAGGATTCCGTGCCGAGGAACTACTATGAACTGCTTGGGGTCTCTACTGATTCCACCCCTCAGCAAATCAAGGATGCCTACCGGAGTTTACAGAAGAAACACCACCCAGATATCGCCGGCCAAAAGGTCTCTTACTGGTATTTTTGAGGCTGAAATCTTCCATGATCAGGACAAACAGTGACTTGAATTCATTCACTCTGGTACCTGTTCTATCTCAGGGCCATGACTACACGCTGATGCTGAACCAGGCGTATCGTACATTGATGAGAGAGGAATCAAGGTCAAGATACGATACCGCTTGCGGCAGGAGATCTGAATGGTCTGGGAGCAACTTTTCTGGGTTAGGTTACAGTTCATGGAATGGACCATTGGGATCACAAGCTCTCTTCGTAGATGAACACAGATGCATAGGTGGAAACCTCATGAAATCTCAGTCATCACACGTACTTGTCCTGTAGGTACGAAAGTTCTGGTCGCTGTTCTCATATATGTTGGGTTGCAGGTTGCCAGGAGTGTGTCCATCATGCAAGCGAGACGTTCGAGATGGATGAAGCTTTTGGGAGTGCTCGCGTCAAGGTTCAGTTCGGAGACCATGCTAAGAACATAGAGGTAAACTTGCTACCACATGAGCTGAATCAATGCCCACGCCACATTTGAGCCTGTGTTCTGTGGAAGATTTGAGAGGGTTTCGAGCGCAGGTTTCAGTCGATTCATGCCCCGTCAACTGCATCCATTGGGTGGACGCAGAAGAGCTGCCATTGCTGGAGTTCCTGGTTCGCCCGCAACCCAAGAAGGCCTACGGTGTCTTCGGAGGAGGATGGGAGAGGCCTGCAGATGTTTTTGCTGCTGCCAAATCCTTGAAGAAGCAACTCAAAGAGCAAGAAGAGAAGAAACACAACCGAGATCACAAAGGTACAAACAGTAGCTTCTGACTCCTATCTTCTTCTCAATCAATGAGACAATCTCTAGCCTCATGGAACATATTAATGAAAGCAACATGCAGAAATCTACTTGAGATTCCGTGAACTTTGATGCAATTTTGCTGATATCACTGCAGGAGATGCAGAGATAGAACCAGAGACACCAGCCCAAACAAAAGCGAGATATCACGCCGGTATGAAGTTGCAGTTCCAAGAACTTCTCCAAATGTTTGGTCGTCTGGGAGAATTCTTCGTTGCAGAGGAATTTAAGGAGAAATAGGTTCAAGAAACGGATTGGTGGCACGGAAATGAAACTATGTGACGGCATCTTATTGAAACAATCATGTATGTAGTGATGGAAATATATGGTTAGAACTCTTTGGTGTTGATACAGATGACTTACTTTATATATGATGAGTTTGTTTTATACTGTAAATATATACTTTGAATTATTATATGATTCGATCGTACAATTAATTTTGGGTACATATGTCATTAGTTAATGAACTTAGAATTAGTAGGTAATAAGTGATCATTTGATCGGTGGCCCGTAGGCTCGTGAGAAATTATCCGTAATGGACGTACCCACATGATTTTACCACTGAGGGTAAGGAAGATCTGATAGACTTATGAATGCGGACTTATGAACCTTTAGTTCTCACACTGCTCAATCAGACTAAATAACCTTATTATGCAAATATTTACTTCTCATGTGAGACTATATCATAAATGTCACAATTCTAATCGATCAAGAAATGATATTTTAATTTTGAAAAGGGCATAAATGAAAATTTTGCCTTCCATGATTCTTCCTAATTTGGAGCTCCGACGGAATGGAGCGTTCCTTATCGGCGGACCATTATGCCCTGGACATTGTTCCAGCGCATCCGGTCTCCGATGCCATTGCAAGCGAGTGATTGCCGGCGGTGAGAGATGTCATTGCAAGCAATTGTCGATGCTGCGCGAAGAGGAGGAGGAGAACGCGAGCGAGCATTGGGAAGGGGTGCGGATGGCAGCCTCTGCCGGCTCATCCCTCTTTCTGACCTCTCGATCGCCGACGCTGACGGATCCGGGCTTGCGGGCCTCGGCAGGGTTGCTGGGATCGTCGTGGCCATGGATTCCGCGGAGGAGGGCGGCGACGTCCTTCATGGTGGGGCGGTCGTCGGTGCGGGTGCTGGTGCAGAGGAGGGCGATGCCGAGGGCCTGGAGCATCTCCTGGACCTGGGGGTCGGCACGCCCCTGGAGCCTGGGATCCACCACCTCCGCCGGGTCACGCTTCCTCCTGAGGTGGTCCTGCACCCACTGCACCACGCTCTGCCCCTCCCCGAACGCTGGGTCCGCCGGCCTCCTCCCCGTTATCGTCTCCAGCAGCACCACCCCGAAGCTGTACACGTCGCTCTTCGTTGTGATCCTCGTCATGCACCCGTGCTCTGTTCCGCACAGAGCAAATGCAGCAATTAGTGGACGTGATGACAACTCAGATTAGCTGTATGATCGAGCCAACAAGAAGAGAAGTGAAGGACAAGACTTGAGCTAACCGGGAGCAATGTAGCCGTAAGAGCCAGCGAATGCGGGCGTGTGGGAATCGCGCCTGTCCGCTCCGCCGTCGTCCACCACTCGAGCGAGGCCGAAATCCGCGAGGCAAGCTTCGTACCGCTCGCCCAGGAGGACGTTCTCCGTCTTCACGTCGCCATGGATGATCGCTGGCACGCAGTCGTGGTGCAGGTAGGCAAGCCCCTCCGCCACCCCGACGGCAATCCCCAGCCGCACCTCCCACTCCACCGCCGCTACCGTGCCTCCGCCGTGGAGCAGCCCGCCCAGCGTCCCGCTCGGGAGGTAGTCGTAAAACAGTAGCCGGGAACGGCGGTTCACCGCCCACCCAAGCAGCCGCACGATTTTCCGGTGCCTCACGCGCGCCAGGGCTCCAATCTCGCACGCGAAGGCCGCGGCTGCCGCTTCATCACCCGTGCGGAACTTCTTGACGGCGATCAGCGACCCCGTGGCCGGGATCCTCACACGGTACACCACCCCGGACCAACCCCGGCCGATGACATTCGACGCCGTGAGTCTCCGGGCCACATCGACAACACCAATCTCCATCTTCTGGTACAGAGTCACCTCCCACGGCGGCGACAAGTCGCCGTCCTTCTCCTCCTCATCGCACCCGTCCTCGCGGTGGGCCCTTCTCCTGCTAACAAGGGCGATGGCCGCCGTGGCGAATAGCACGACCGCAGCCGAAAGGAGCACCGCCGTTGCGACGCGGCCAGCCCTCCGCGCGTTGATTCGGTCGCTGACATCGTCGAAACCGGAGCAGCGAGCGAGGCAGAGTGCTGGGTTGCCTTCTAAGTCGCCGATCGGGAGCTTGGAGAAGAAGACGCTGTCCGGGACGCGGCCGGAGAAGTTGTTGAAGGAGACATTAAGGGCAACGAGGTTTTCGAGGGCGGCCAGGGGCTGGAGGTCGCCCGAGAGCCGGTTGTGGGAGAGATCAAGCACCCCGAGCCGGATGAGCGCTGCGAACTCCGCCGGTATCTGGCCCGAAAGGTCGTTGTAGCTCAGATTCACGGCGATCTCCAACGCCATTATCTTGCCAATGGTCGCTGGGATCTCACCGGAGAGCTTGTTATTGCTCAGATCCAACAGCTGGAGCCGCAAGCACGAGCCGACCGCAGGCGGGATCTGGCCGGATAACTGGTTCCTCGCGAGAGTAAGCTTTGTGAGTGAGGTCAGTAAACCGATTGCCGGCGGCAGATCCCCGCCGATGGAGTTATCGGAGAGGTCTATGTACTGTAGCGATACGAGGCCCTCGAAGAGCCCATCCGGTAGGCTGCCGCCGATGTTGTTGTCGTGGAGATCGACGAAGGTCAGATTCCGGCACCCCGCCATCGCCCCAGGGATGGCTCCGGCAAGCCGGTTCGAGCTGAGATCTAGGAAGCTGAGGTTCTTCAGCAGGCCAATCTCCGGAGGAATCGCTCCGGTAATCCCGTTTCCGTTGGCTCTGAAGCGGACAAGAGACGAGCAGTTGCCGACCTCTGGCGGGATTGGGCCGGACAAATCGTTGTCCAGGAGCAGCAGCTTGCTCAGGCTCCTCAGCCGGAAGATTCCCTTGGGGATGGAGCCAGTGAGATTGTTCTGCGACAGGTCCACGGCCTCAAGATTCTCGCAGCCGCCCATCTCCGGCGGGATTCCCCCTGTGAGCCGGTTAGCCCAGAGGTACAGCGTCCGGAGCTTCACCAGCAGGCCGATTTCTGCTGGTATCCCGCCGGAGATCAGGTTGTTGTCAAGCTCAAGGTCGGAGAGGTTCCGGCAGCGAGCGATCTCCGGCAGTATCGGGCCTGATATCTGGTTCACACTTAGCTGGAGCTCCCGGAGGTCAGTGATGTTGCCGAGGGTGGCGGGGATCCTCCCCGTCAAGCCGTTCATCGAGAGATCAACCACCTGAAGTTCGCCGCAATCTCCGAGCTCCGGTGGGATCACGCCTACCAGATTGTTCTGCCAGAGAAGCAGGTTTCGGAGCTTCTTGAGCTGACCCAGCTGCGGCGGAATGGAACCCGAGAGAGAGTTCTCGTAGAGGTACATGTTCTGCAGCTCCGCGCACTGGCCCAACTCTGGCGGGATTGGGCCCGAGAGCAGCGCGGTGTAGATGGCCAACGTCTGGAGATTCCTCAACGCTCCCATGCTGGGGGGCAGCGGACCGGAGATGCCGGTCTCCGCGAGGCCGATGATGACCATGCTGGTGCAATTGCCAATCTCCGGGGGCAATGCACCTCGCAGGTTCTTGTTCCCTCCCGCCCGGAATACCTCGAGCCTCGCGAGTTGCCCGATGGTCGGCGGAATCTCCCCCTCGAGCTGGTTGTCGTAGACGACCAGCCACCGGAGCAGCGAGAGGTTGCCGATGGAGGCCGGAATCGGTCCCTCGAGTCGGTTGGAGTTGAGATAAAGGCGCTCAAGGCGGCTTCCCGGCCGGCACAGGCCGTCGGGGATGGAGCCCGTGAGCGCATTGTCGCTGAGATCCAGGTGGACAAGTCGGGGGAGCTCTCCCAGCTGCGGCGGGATGGGCCCGGACAGATTAGTCCCGGAGAGCACCAGCTTCGAGAGGGAGCTCGCCAGCGCGCTCAGGTTGGCCGGCACGCCGCCTAGCAAGTCCACGTACTGCAGAGTCAACTCCACCACTCGGCCGCTGGCGTCGCAGGTGATGCCATACCACCGGCACGGGCTCGCGTCGTTCGGGTTCCAGTCAGCAAGTACATCATCATTACTGCTATCACCATTCAAGCTCCGCTTCCACGAAAGCAGCGCCTCGCCCTGCAGGTCGATGGCGCGGGCGTCCATAGATAAGAGAACAGAGCACAACAGTAGCTGGAAGAAGCAGGAGGAGGAGGCCCTCCACACGCTTCCAGCTTCGCCAGGCATCACTACCATGGACTACTACTATATTCACTGGCGCTCTCTTTTGCTGCCGGTGAAAGAGGAGAGCGTGGAGGATGTTGACGGAGGGAAACGAGGAGCAGCAGTAGAAAGAAGAAAGGGAAGAAAAGGAGAAGAGAGGTCCGACAATGGCTTACCATCACATATATACATAATAAATATAAATCACCTGCAGCGCTAACATTGAGAAGACCCAGAATCTCCGGATCCAAGACTTCCAGCCGGGCAATGAGCAGATGAAAACACAACCCGAGGTAACTTGTTGCAGACGTTTGGGCCGTCACAAATGCTAAGCAAGAGGTGGAGCAGTAATTTGATGGAGAAGATTCCCCTGCGTTGGCATAATGGCAGTAGCTATGAGCAGGATTAAGCGTCTCGTGACAGACAGAGGCAGTCTTAATTTAAGCCAACATTAACGTGGATCCCGATTCATCTTTTGTCATTGACAATTGATGTTCTGTTCCTTGCTGAACTCTTACCACGAGAGCTACAATTTATGCGGGCCACACACATCTGATAACATGCTGACTAATTGGGATCTGATTCCAATTAGGTCAACTAATCTTGTCAATCTCAAATCTATGGAGACTCATCGACATGATGCCTACCATATGACTGGGAAGCTACAGTGTGTTGTCGTACGGTCGGCTTTAATATATAGAACGTTATCGGGAGTCGATTAATTGAAATGCGATGTCGCTTTATCACGTGAGACGGTGGGGGCGCTTTGCCCGCCTGGTCGTGACGGTAGGTTTTGTTTAGGGAGAGCAGTGTGCGATGGATGGCTAGTGGTAGGAGCATGTGTGTGTGTGCTTACATAGTAGGAGAGGACGGTTGGGATTCCAAACCTGACATGGTTACGATAATAATTGCAACCATCAGGGCCTCTGGTGGTGACGTGATGGATGATGAGGAGGATGGGAATCTAGGCACGAGGGAGGGGAGTGGGTAGGTCACATGCGATGAGAGAGAGAGAGAGAGATAGAGAGATGGTGGAGTGATCATGGAGGTCATAGTCTACGCTATTTTATTTGATGAACAGAGTTGCTAATCCGACGATTCAATTAGGATAGAATCAGAATCAAACATACAATCATTAATCTATTACAATTTTAATTTTAATAAATTTAATTTTTGGACATGATTTATCACCAAAACTTAAATTTTTTTTAACACATAATAAGTTTTTTAATTAAATGATATTTATGATATTTACATGTGCACTTGACATGTATCACTTATGTAATAATGTACTAACTAATCGATGACTCGACGGATACGATACATCTTATATCAAAATCTAATTTTATTTTAAATAAAATAAAAAATTAAACCGATTTGTTCCTCGATTTCACACCAATATATAAACAATATCCGTACCTTATTATGATACCAAAAGAGGCTAATACAATAGTAAACAAGTTGTCTAGATTTATTATTGTGTAGCTCATTAGGCGTTAGACCTCCATGTGTATCATCATGATCTCCATTTGCCTACCTGTTAGACTGTGGCTAAGCCATTTGGTAAGCCGGTTAAGAAGACTAAATTGCAGCTTTTGATACGGCCTTTGGATAAACCAAGTATCGAATTCATTAGCATATATATATATTTATCTCATCAGGAAGCAATTAAGCCCCAAAACATAACACACAAGCATTGATCATAAAGACCCTCGAATTAAGCAATCTACAAGAGGAGGGGGGTGTGCGCCACATGGAAGAATGATTGGGAACGGACTCCTAAACCAATTGGAAGTCTATCTTAGTGGCATTACTTATGGAATGATCGAAGAGGAGGGCTCCCCTTATGAGACACTCTCCGGGTTTTGCGGCTATTGCCCTCACTGCCTTTCTCTCTTTCGGCACACACTTTATATTATGGGAATAATTACCATCATCTCTTTCTTGTTCTTTTATGTTAGTGTATGGGATGTGACACTTTGATCTGTGCGTGGAGGATATATTCTGTGCTGCTGTTGTCATCCATCACCAGCATTCTTCTGGCATTTCGGCGTTGGGGAGATATCATAGGAGGCGGCTTCTATCGGGCTGCGTATGCGCTTTTGTAGTGCTAAAACGTCTGTTTCGATGTTACATCAGTCAGTCGAAGATGGACGCAACGCGCAAAAATGTGTGCAGGAATTCTGGCATGTCTCCTCTACGTTGTGACATGGACGGATTGAGTTGCTTATACGGTGGCGTTTATTTTGATGATAAAGAAAAGAAAAAATACCACTGCTATCGGATTAGTAAATTGATTTTAGCCCATTTGAAGGTACTTTGACTAATCAGATTTTGATAGATCGTTATGAGTTCGAATCTTATTTTTATTATTTATTATTTTTTAAAAAATATGTTAACATTTTTTTGATATATATACGGGCAAGTAATAATAAAGGGACGATAAGATTTTCACATTAATTAAATTTGTTTATATTATTGACGATTGAATTTTTTTTTCTCCTTTCTTATTCTTCGATCATGTTTTGGTACTAAGATGGATGACTCTTGACCATCAAACTTTTCTCACTTTAATTAAAAATTTAATTTATGATATTTTGTTGAAATTTGAAGGGTAAGTGATAAGGTATATTTTGGGTCCACGACACATCAAAATCGATGTCACATCGCACTACAATCGAGTCAGCAAGAGGAGCACCCCCACGCGCTAAGTCAGAATTCGTACCAATGTGTTGTTTGGTATGTCCCGTCCCGAAAGTTCGGGACGGCGTCGTCTGGCATCGTTCCGTGCGTCTCGGGATGACAACCGCATAAAGGTACCATCTCATCCCTCGAGGATCGACCCACCATGTTAAACCCCCGTACGACCGACCCTCGTACAATAGTATAAAAGCCCATGGCCAGCATCCGGCCAAGGGAAAGGACAAAAAGAGAAAAACAACTACTGACTTGTTCGTCGGAGGGGCCAAAGTCGGGAATCACCCGACGAAGGTCATTCTACCCTCGAGCTGCAAGCGTCCCGACCTGGGAGTTGCCATCTAGTGTACAAAGGCAAGTCGCTAACCAGCCTGGAGACAGAGAGACGTTGCTCAACATCAACAGTGCCCGAACCGAGAAACTCTGATCAACACTCTATCGCGAGGGCCCGACCGACCTCGACATCCAGCTCAACCAACTGAAGACTCCCGACATCGACCCATGGACCATGTTGTGCTAACTCATTAGCCACGGCACATCAGTTCACTAACATTTTTGGCACTAGAAGGAGGGTCATATCACAGAAGCTCTCCCTGAAGGAGAACCACCGACCAGTCACCCCTCTGTTGGGCCCGGAGACCAGTCCCTCCTCATCCTCAGAGACGGGGGGATCCCAGCTTTGATGTCAGATCGCTACTAGCGCCTGTTCAACGACCCAGGGTTGTTGTCCCCCAGACTTACCATAGGACCCTCGGTCGTATCGCCCGAGGCGTTCCTCAACCTGACCAAGCAAGTACAAGCAATAGCGGGGATGATGCAGACGCTCGTCCCACTCATTCCCCAAATCATGCGGCTAGCAGCTCCCCCAACTGACCCGACCCAGTAAAGGCCGAGCAGGGAGCAGGTCAGGACGAGAGAAGCCCAAGAGCAGACGATAGACTCGAGAGGTCTGCTCGAGCAGAGCATACTTGCACCCTGCCGAATCACACCGCCCCGCTCCGAGCCTGACACCATATCGTCCGAATCGGCGGATGACTCGTTCAGGATCTAACTGTCCCGGGTCAACCAACGACTGGACGAGCTCCAGCGCGAGTTCCAGAAGTCGTGGAGCGAGTCGAACGAAGGCAACTCAGGCAGATCCCCCTTCGCTCAGGAAGTATAGGACAAGCCGGTACCCCTCAACTTCAGACTGTCGGCATTGGAGACGTACGACGGCAGCTCTGATCTCACAGAGCACGTCGTCGCGTTTTAGGCACAGATGGCCCTATATGGCACCTCCGTTACAGTGATGTGTCGGGCATTCCCGACCACCTTCAAGGGACCGGCACAAGTGTGGTTCAATCGACTATGCACATCTTAGTCTCATCTTTCGATCAACTCGCTAGGGAGTTCGAGAAGAATTTCCTCGCTAGCGTGTGACCCCGGCCTTCCATGGCCACCTTGCTCGCGTTATCCCAGCGCGAAGACGAGCCGCTCTCTCTGTTTGTGGCATGTTTTGCCTTTGAAATCCGGGGATTCCCGGACGCTCACCCTTCTTTAATCATGCAGGCGTTTCTGATGGGCTTGAAGCCTTTAAGGTTCTTCTGGTCGTTGATCGAGAAGCCACCAGTAACTATCCTCGAAATACTCCAGTGCGCCAACCAGTACATCGTCGTCGAAGCTCTAGTGGCGAGAAAGCGCTTGGATGGGAAGAGGCCAAGGGTGGAATAATCCGGGGGAATGACCTCAACAGCCCCGGTGCAACCCCGCCGGAGGCCCGACCGACAAGAGCTACTGCTCTCGAGGCCCTCGCCTCTCCCTCTGAACACATCTCGTACCGAGATCTTCCTCCAAATCAGGGAGAAGGGTCTCTTGCGACAGCCTAACCCCATGAAAGCTACTCACAAAGATCAGTCCAAATATTGTAAGTTCCATCAGGACTACGGTCATGACACGAAAGACTATCATGACCTCCAGAATCAAATTGAGGAACTGATCCGGAGAGGTCACCTCGGGCGCAATCTTAAGGAACCCCGGGAAGCGACTCCACGCCCCAAGGGACCCATCGAAAGATAGATCGACATCATCTCTGGAGGACCAACAGCCGGCGACAACAACTCAACGATGAGGAAGGCCTATGCCCGGAGTGCGGTTGAGAAACATCCCCGGCCCGAGCTCGAGCTTGAAATCACTTTCGGAGCCAAAGAGGTCGAGCGCTCACATCATGACGATGCTTTGGTGATCTCCATTCGGATCGTCAACGCTTGGGTCAAATGGGTGATGGTCGACACCGGGAGTTCCGTCGACATCCTGTACCTCGATGCCTTCAAGGCGGTGGTATCCACCTACCACAAGGCCATTAAGTTTCCAACTTCAGCGAGGATCGGGGAATCCCGAAGTGATCCGGGAGAGTCAAGGCGATGCTATCTTACGGTGGTTACTCTCCCGGGGAAGTCACGACCCCGTCAAGTCCCCGACCCCCGCGAGGGAACCATAGCGCCAATGCAGCTGAAACCCCCTGAGCAGCTCACCGAGGTACCCTTGAAAAAGAACCGGCCCGATCTAACCGTGAAAGTCGAGACGACGCTCCCCGAAGCAGATAGGCTCAACCTTATCGATTTCCTAATGAAAAACGCCAATGTGTTGGCATGATCCCTCGAGGAGATGCTCGGGATTGACCCGGGGGTAACCCAGCACCAGCTCAACGTCGACCCCGAGGCTCGGCCAGTGAGGCAAAGACCAAGGAAGTTCGCTCCCGACCGACAGAAAGCGATCAGTGACGAGGTCGACCGCCTTAAAGAAGCGGGATTCATTAAATACCCTCGGTGGCTATCGAATGTAATTCTCGT